ATGTTTCCTGATGATTAGGAAGCATTCAGGCTGACGTCATGTTGATTCAGAGTGAGCCAAAGTAAAAAAAAAAAAAAGAAACAATCTCCCCCCTCATGTTACTGTAATCTCCAGCATGTGACCTCCCCTCGAGCTGACGACGGAGAGAGGGAGGCTGGAAAACCTGCGGCGCTCAACCCAAACCAGTGGCCGGTCTGCTCTGAGAGGATTTAGAGGGAGAAACACAGCAGCAGCTCTGCGCCACATATTATATTCCCACTGGTAAATCCCCTCCAACTCATTACCAAATCCTCGCTGCAGGGCTGCTAATCTCCAAACAGAGCCCGACCAGGTGCCTGTCTTTTTTGTAATGGAATTGCATCGCTCTTTAAGTGATTGCATCAACAATTGCCAGATCTGATAAATTAGATTAGACGAAGTAGAATCTTATTTGTGCAGCAAAGCGAGGAGAAACTTCATCATAATGCAAAAACAAACGTCGGATGAAAACCTATTAGAATTGATTTACATGCGCGTACATTCTAACTACTGGATTGATTGCACTATTGGGTTTATGTCTGCCTGACTGTCTGCGAGTGTACTTTTCATCCGCGGGCCTTTCACAGCGATAAGGGACGAGATTTGAGCTGTCAGAGAGGAAAATGATTTGAAGAATTATGGGAAAATAAAAAGCCTGGCAGCGTGTCGCGGCTGTGAATGTGATGAGGAAACAGTTGGGGGAATAATTGTTGCACTTTAGTCGGGATAGAAAAGCCGCCGTCAAAGCTAAGCCCATCACAGTTTGATGAAAAAGAAAGAAAAGAGGACGAATAAATGTGTGCCAGGAGAAAATGTATTCTGGTATTCCTCATTTGATTTGAGGATTAACTGTGTATGTGTGTTTGTTTCTTATAATCAGACATGGAGAGGATACTTTGAGTCTTCAATTTCAAAAAAAGGACATCATCCTTATTTATAAATCATGCTTTTAACATTAATGATTAAAGGATTACACAAAATACATATTTCGGTGTATGCCATAATCTGCGTTTCTGAGTGAATATGACGGGCCGATACATGGGGTCAGAGAGTAATCTGATTGGTGGAGCTGTAACTGGGAGAAGAGCTGTGGTGTCCAGTTTATCAGGGAGCAGCCGACTCTCTCTCTCTGTGTGTGCAGGGCGGAAACAACAGATTTGTAACGACACAGAGTCTCCACAGAAACAAATATCAGTCGGCAGCTGTTGTTTGTGACATTTCAATAAATAAATCTCGGACGTTCGCTCGAGCACGAGTTTTCCTTCGGCAGCTGTGGCGAGGATTCGGATTTTCTTATTAGGGAGAATGTGAACCGTGCCAGGAAAGACGTGAGCCCTCTGACCAAAGCGGACGTGAAATTAGATCACAATTAACTTTGTGTTTTTTGAACACGATGTGCCGTCGAAATAGGACGAGAGAGATGTGAGGAGGAAGGTTATTTCTGCTGGAGGTTTACTCTGACTAATGAGAGCTCAAAATAACTCCAAAGAGCTCAAAGTGCTGAAGAATGAAAGTGTTGTTGCACACACCAGAACCCCAGCACAGAGAGCATTCTGGGTAATATGGGCATTTTTTTAGAGATATGAAATGCTTAAAATGGAAACCATAGAGAGAGACTTCTTTAGTATCCTTGTTTAAAGGTATTACTTACAATATAGACAACATCATCACAATAAAGATGAGAGTCAGTAGCTTTTTCCGGAAAAATAGATTTATACAAAAGTAATGTCGCTAAATCATCACTTATGGGCCTGCCTACATGTGTGGTGGTGACTGTGTCTGCAGAGATTTGTTATGAATTTGTTTTTTGCTGACATGGGATGTTTCTGGGCAGGGAGTGGATGTGTTTCCTGCAGTACATCACCCAATGACCAAATGCGATTTGGACCAGTGAAAGTGACAGATGTGACACAGATGTAGTGGCAAAGAAGAGAAAATATAATCACATCGAGGCGAAATACCGCACAGAAAAAGCTGATTCAGAAACGAGGGGGGGAAAATAAGGGTTGGCTTTCAACTGTGGACGCAGAGTAGGACTGCTTTCTGTTGTATAGACAGGTCCAAACACTGGTAGTAAGTAAGTTACACTCTAAAGTAAGTAGAGCATGACTCATAAAGTCTCTTTCAAAGGTGATTTCACCTCTGGTACAGGATCTTATGTTCCCCTCTGACCTCCCCCCAATCCAGCCCTTTTAACTTCCTGTGTGTCGTTCACAGGTCGATGTCACCTGTGGGTCATTAAGGTCGCAGCACAGTGATGTGAGACTCACCAAGAGTTACAAGAATAAAAGGTGTGAATTGGTGTCAAAGAGGCTTTAAAAAGGGATGTCTCAGGGCGGCTTTACGAGGAGCTGATAAGTGCTGCCTCGGGCTCCGAGCTGTGTGACACTCACACGACAAAAGTGAGAGCAGCGTTGTGCTCACAGTGAAACAGGACCACTTCAAAAGAACGAGAGGAAGACATGCTTTGATTACCATCAATTCAGAGAAGTGATTTGGCTGCTACTTCTGTCAGTTTAACTTCAAGTTATAGACACTGCAGATATTCCTGTAAACACAAGAGAAAGATACAGAAGCCCTAAGTGGACATGCATCTTTAATTTGTTTTCCTTTGTAAACGAGTCATTTCCGATTGCTATTTATGATCTTCACTTATTTTTCTCTTAATGTGAGAGTTGCAAAAGCACCAAACAAACATAGAAACAGGTTTAACTCACCTCATTAATGTGGACAATGGCTGCATGACATGTCGGGGTCTGGCCCATCACAGTGACCGGCCTGTTGTTTTGTCATCTAGATTGCCAGAAAATGATCCTGTTATCATGAGAAAACAAGTTTTGATAAGTGGAGATCTTGAGAAACTACCTGAAATGTACTCGTTAACACAGGATAACGAAGTAAATAGAAAGAATTGATGTCTGTCTGCAGGGCTTCTGTAGAAAAGACCAAATGTATGCATGTTTAAAAATACACAGCAGTACAAAAAAAAAAAACAGAAATGCATGATTACATCTGCAGAGATCCTTTATTAACAGACCCTGCCTTCATATCATGATGTACATGTGTTTTCTTTCACGCCTCAAATGTGTCAAATCGACGGTCAAAGGTGTGAATGTGCTGCACGTAAACAGCACAGTGTGGAGTTAAATTATACAGAAACGACACAGAACATTATGTTCCCCACATTATGAAAATCCCACTCACCAGAAATGAACCGACATTGGACACACGCATGTGCACACTCAGAGTATTACAGAGCACAGAGATTTGGGGGGAATCACAGCAGGGAGTGTGTCAGAGAGCAGTGAAAGTGGCGTCACAGCGAGAGCAGGCCGGCTCTTAAGTCGCACTCACAGGTCACCGAGGGGAGAGAGGGATGAAAACTGGCAGCGGACAACAGAACTAAGCTCCCAGACTCAACTGTTTAGTCTGATATGACGAGTGTAGTCCAAACTGAAATAGCCAGAAATAGAAAAAGCAAAATGTGAGCAGCATTTGAATCTAATAACGTCTGTTTGAATCAAATTTTTTGCACACTCATGGAACATTTGTTCACAGGTGTTTGGGGGACCTAGCCTGCACCAACATTGTTGCTGTAAATGTCCTACCATGCTATTATTTTAGCATGTTTTCTATCTATCTATCTGGTGTGTATCCGAGGTGTGTGAAATCAGATTAATTGCCTCAAGTGATGTCACGAGTTGCCGATCTAGATGTGACAGCTAAAAATCATCTATGGAGGTGTAAGGGTTTGAAAGATGTGAGTTTACCAAATCTCTGTTGCTCCTTTATTTCTGCTTGATGCTAAAAGCTAAAGGCTAAATTAGCCGCCACTAGCATATCCCACGAGAAGATTAGAAAGAACCATCATCAGTTAAATTGATTTGTTCATTGGTAAAAAAAAAAAAAACTCCAGGAAGAAGACAATAAAGAAATATCTCTCTCTTTCTCTATTGAAAATAAGGCATTTAAACAAAATCAGTAGGTTATTTCCGCACATTAAGGTTTGAGAAAATGTATTTATTAAGCTATTATTGACTCAAAAAAACATCTTTGATATGCACTGAAGATCTTTATGTAGAAAGTTTTTAAAGCCCAGTCGTCAGAAATCCTGTAAAAATGCAGCCTGCAGAGTCAGTGTGTGTTTATCAAACCAGCTGATCTGATCTGCAGGACACCAAAGGGACCGGAGAGGAAACAGCTCTTGCGTCACAGAGTCCGGAGAGCTCCTGTTCACAAGACAGTTTGATTGAAGGTCCTTACAGTGTGTGTGTGTGTGTGTGTGTGTGTGTATGTATATGTGTGTGACTTCCTGTAGAGTGGAGGAGCGTCAGCACAAACACCAGGACTGACACTGATCCTGTAGATTCACTGTATTTGATCAGGAATTTGTCTCTGAAGAACCCGCTGAGGATTCCTGATTTATTTCATCACATTTTCATGTCACCCTTCAAAGCACATGTGAGGAGAACTTATTTAAATCACTGTATAATACAGACTTATCTAGAGACACATTAGAGCATGCTGCCTGTTCATGTGTGGAAGCATTGGGGGGGAAATTAACACAAAGAGAACTCGCTTCAGTAAATCTTGAATAATTTATTTTCTCCGACTGTGGTCTTTCTTTTTTCCACTTCTCATTACTTCAGACATAATTCCCAGTCTCCCATTTTTTTTTGAAGACAAAGCACAAAAAAGAAGATTCAAAGTACAAAAATATATCTCGGTTGTGAGCATGCATTGTGATGTACAATATGTAATACAAAAAGTGCATGTATTTGTTTTTGTCCCATTTAACTACTACATAAAATCCTAAACTGACCTCACTATCTGATCAGACGTTAAGGAAACATGCTATGTTGAAGTGCTGGCTTCTCTGACAACAAAGCAGCAGACAGTATGTCCTCCTTCTAACTTTAGATTCAGCTCCTGAATGTTCTGTACAGTTTTTGTTTTGACCAGAGAAGTAGGCGGCATCCCCACATGTCTGTTTTGGACGCCCCTCGGTTTGCCAGATATGAGACCAGTTATCAGGTCAAACCAACAGGTGTTGCAGCGACGAAAGCGGGCAAGGGAACTGGTTCAGAAAGACCTAAAAAGTGTTTCTAATAAACTCTACGAGCAGAAACGTGCTCAAATTAGGATTAATACTGAAAATGCTTTTTAAAAATGGAGAGAGGTTAGAAAGGTTTCAAGTCCGATGCAGAGCTGGCTAAACACTGAAGGTTCAGTGTCTTCAACATGGCAACCTGCACGCACATCGACTCTAACGAGGAGGGGGCGGGAGGAGACAGCTCTCTCACGTCTTATGAATTGTGGCTGCAGTTCATATTTTAAACACTAGGTGTCAGAGTTACATATTGCTCCTTTAACTATTTTTTTTGCAGCTACAGCAAATTTAGAAACAGCATCATACCTTTCATACTTTAAGGTACTTCGCCTTGAGTCTCAACACAAACATAATAAACATTTTCATTTCTCAAAATTTGCCTCCAAAAATGAAGATAAGTTTAAATGTCCAGTGCAAAATGTCTTCCTGAAGCTCAGGATGAAGAAAGCAGACTCTTCCAGAAACTCTGTTTCTGTTAACACTTTTAAAACCTTTGAGAAATATATCGAAACACTTCATGTTAATGTACAGCTAACTTCAAAAGCTTTGTCTTGCATTAATAGATTTACATTCTTGTATAAATGCAGCTCAGTTCAGGTCCTCGGGTCAGACTGCTGTTGGTGGTTTTAGTCGTTAGTTAGCCGGGACGAAGAGGATGAAACCATCTCGAGCCTTCTTGAAATCGGAGTTGGCCTGGCCCGGTTTGGTTTCCACCGTGACGCTCTTTGGTTTTCCTCGCATGTGGACCTGCACGGCTGAAGGACAAACCTTCACAGGAAACGGGACCTTTCTGATTCTGAAAGAGAAAAAAACAAACACACATTTTTGTTTTACTTTGCCTGTGAGGTTTTGAATTCTAAACAGTTATTCCCACAACCGATAAAACGTGTCACCTCTAATCCCAAACCAACACCAGGGTCCAATCCACATGAGAATTTGTTATGGTTTTAGTATATGTCATTAAAATCATTGAAATCGATGCACTGATGGATGACATATCAGAATAGTGAGTGTAGTCCAACTCTTTTTAATCCATTAATACAAATAGATATTGATTATAGGAATGTTGTGTCTAAGCTGTAATGCAGCCTCCCGCCACTACACGGTGCTGTAGCTATAGACTTGCTGTAGCTCTTTTTAATGGACCTGCTCTTCCAGCTCTACTGTCAGATGGTAACGAGCACAGATATATAGCATCTCACAGCACAGCGCGGTTTGGCAGTATTTTTAACTTGTATTTTGAAAATGATGATAAAGTTGTTTGTACAGGCTGTGTCAGGTTGAACTGATTTATTGGCCGACGCAATGCAGAACCACAGTCAGCTCAGGCATGTGGACGTTAACCTGCAGGGAGGACTGACGGCTGACCTTGCTAGCTCTGCTTACGTTAGCATACTCCTCAAACCAATCTGACATCGTTTCAGCTGTGTTAAATGAATTGTGCTCAAATTGGAAATTAGCCTCCTAGGAACATCTCAAATTGAATTGAACAACAATGCAATTATTAGAAATCCAGAAACTTGTAAACAAAGAGATACAACTTTTTTTTTTTGTACCAGGATATTCACGCAGAACATTTTTCTTTATACTGTAAAAATTAATATTTTAAGACGGGACTTTTGGCTTCTGGAGACAGCCTCAAGTGGACACTCGAGGAACTGCAGTTTTTTACACTTCTGGCTTTGTTTTTCCAACACCATAGGTTGGCGCTTGCAGCCAATAGGCTTCATATTAAATGGCTAAACTCTACGGGTGAAGTAAACAAGTCTTAAGCCCAAACATAAAACAATCTGGTCTCTATAGTTGATATTTTCTTTCAGCTACAGAGAGGTGGGGGTATATTAGCTGACTTTTCCCAGGAGAGAAGTTGGTGAGCCAAAGTTTTAAGAAAAGTTTTTTCTTCAGTACTGCCAAAGTGAAACTATTTTGTTTCATCGGGCAGCAAAATTGCCCACAAATACCTTGTTAAAATCACACCTCATATTTTGAAAAAGACACCGTGTTCTTTTCTGTTTAATTACTCATCAATTTATCTTTGTGTTTTCACTCCATGTACCTACCATCCTGTATGATCCCAACGACATGTGGTTCACAGGTTCAAAACATTAGACCAGGTTCAAAACATACTCTTCTGCACAAACTCCCCCCCGGTTTCTAAAAACCGCAACACATCTTTAATGTTTCCACAGATTCTCAAAGACAAAATGAGTATTTGTCTCGTTTCTTTGACAGTTTGTCATTGCTCTCTTCACACTTCACAGTAGCATCCGTGGTGAAGGCGTTTTGGCGTCACACATACGATTGCTCTGCTGACAGCTCGGACCACGAAGTGTGACTTTGCTTGCTCGGCAGGACGCTCACTGCACCGTCAGCTGAAGATGATCCACTGTGAAGTGGCCCTTTGAGATCCTGCAGCTTTAGCCCGGCCGCAGTGACCCCCACTTCTCCACCAAATACACGTCTGTGTCTGTGTCTGTGTGGCGTGCATACAAAGAACCTCACACCGATCCATCTACGTCACAGCCTGACTCCCAGGAGAACGCGTTTGATACTTCTGCTTGTGACGTTGTTTCTCCTCAGATTGGCTCGTTTGCACTTTGTTTGAACCCGATGAGAAGGCTTTCTGAAAGCAGATGCAGAGCAATATTTGCTGAACAGCTATTTGTGGACGCCTTTGAATGCCGATAATATGACTGATAAGCAGGGCTGGCTCGTGTATATAAGCCAACCTGGCAACTGTCTGCCGACTTTGGCAACAACAACCCTAAAGTAAGTGTCAGTGTCCTGTTCTCCACAGACTGACTGCTCCTCTTCAAAAACATGGCTGAAAATCAGAGCAGAGGAAGTCTCACTGTTAAAAAAGGTGAATTTAATTTATGCAGATTACATAATCCTTTATCTGTTATGCAACAGTGCTGGCAATCTGGTTTAGTAGATAGAGACAGCAAAATCTGAGATTTAGAGCTGACACTTTAAGTACTTTATTTCAAGTCTAGGTCATCATCTGAAGTATACCTGATAGAAGTAAATGTACCTTTTCTACAGCTGAATACATTTTGCACTCTTAAAAGATGGATTGATGGTCAGTGGAGCTAGTTTTAAAGTGCCGCTTAGTCAAATGGTTCCAAACCTAGGGGTCGGGTTCCTCCAACGGGTCTGTGTTATCTGTTGTCGTTGTTGTTGTTGTCCCTCTTTGTCTCCCCGTCTCTATCCATCTTTGATTTTCTGCAACTTTATCGACAACATAAGCTTGATTCCATTGTTTCCTATTGGAGTGTCTTAACAGCCTAGTAGCAACACATCCTGACACAATGTCTCTGGATTTGTCTTTGTCACTTAGGAAGACATGTATGAGGAACCAGGAAGATCGACAAGGCGCTGGGAGTGTAAGACAGGAAGTCTTTCCTGGATTCCCTGTCTGTTTCGTCGCTCACCAGAGCTTGTTAGCTCGGTGAACGAAGTCTGGAGATTGGTCCATTAATGATATCCATACATCAGATTAAAGTGCTTTGAATGTCAACACTGAAGGAAAGACATTTGCTGGTTCATCGCCACCAAAGGCTCGTCCATACGAGGCACCGTACTTCCATTTTCGCACCTTCAAAATAAAAGCACCACATGCCATACTGTTTTCAGTGGGAAACTTCTACAGAGCATAGAAGTGAATTATAAGGGGTGCAGCGGGGACAGTGAGGGTCCGATGCTGCACAACGCTTTGCGGTATCTGACACTTGTGCTCTGTTAGGACAAGCTGTAAGGCACAGGTACTACAGAAATGAACAGTACTTGTTTTTTTAATTGTCACATGATTGTAAAGTACTTATAGCTGATGTGAGGAATTTTTGACATACGTTGATTTTGGCGCCCCCTATGGACACACACACACACACACACACACACACACACACACACACACACACACACACACACACACACACACACACACACACACACACACACACAGACACACACACTTTAACAATCAATCATCATAGGCTCTCATTAAGAATATTTGCTGTTGAAAATATATATTTTTTTTTAAATGCTGATCTTGCACCATGCAGTTGTCCCTTTGTCTGACACTAACCCCCTGATAGAGGTTTCAGAGATTTTTATTAACTTCATAGAAATAATCAATTTCAATGCGGATGGTCTTTTATGCATTCAAAGCTCGTACAGAGACATCAATCCTCCCAGAAGCTTTAAGGAAGATGGTGAATTTAATTTCCCACCAAATCTAAAACTGCAGACAGAACCTGAACACTGGCTCCTCTCTCTAAGTCGCTCATAAATGGACTTCATTTAAATACTGCCTTTTTTTCATGCTTCCTTTTCTTAAGTGAAACAGTCTAAAACAGCATGATCTCAGTAAATCCTGCAGAATACATAATCATCCTCTGTCCACACGTCTCCTCCTATTATTCAAACCATCCTCTCTTACATACATATGCATTAAGGAGAGATCTCGCAGGCATCTCCAGCCTGCTGCGTCCACTTGATAAAAAAAAACAGCACACGCATTTGGGGCAGAATCCATCACATCTGGTGCTAAATCAAAGTAAATGCGGCCCCTCTGTCGCTTTAACACTTCCTGCTTTGCATTTCCTTCAACAAGAAACACAAAATAAGAAACGAATCTGACAACATGCACACTCAAGAGTGAGAAAAAGACGAGTTTCTTGACAAGTTCTTGGTGATAAATAACCAAACCTCACATTTTTGATGATTTTCTGAAGAAGACAAACGAGGTGTGAGAGTGATAAGAGGAGGCTGAAGCTCCAATTTTCAAAACACAAAATGTATTTCACACTCAAAATGTAAGTCACATCGTTCTCTTTTCCTCATCTTAAGGGTATTAAACTCGAGTCATGTTTCCAAATCTGTCTCAGCTCATCACAAGTCGCTCCAACAGGTGTGGCCTTGCTCCATTTTCCCCCCCGCTCGGCCCCTTCGTCAGCCTTCCTGAACTCCCCCCAAACCAGCTGTCCGGACCTGCTGTGGCAGAAGCAAAAACCCCGACACACAAACCCACTGACCTCCTCCAGGGTTTGGATTTGTGTGCGATAACTGATCTCATCGTGTCGGCTATACCACAAGAGAAAGCCGACACCGGCAGAGCGTGTTTGGGAGAAGCCTCTGGCTGAGCCTGAGGACGGAAGATGAGAGGCTGTGAGGGCCTGTGGTGCAGAAAATGTGCTGCTAGAGGAAGAGGAGAGCTGAGGGCTGCAGAGGCTGAGCAACAATTTAAAAAACAGACAAATATGTTTAAAAAAAAAAATAAGGGCAATGAACAAGAGTCATTGTATTCTATAGAGATGTGAAATAACCAAAAGTTTGTTTTCATTTTTCAGAGATGAAGATACAAGAAGCAGCTTTCCATCTTCAAATCTTCATGACAAACTACCCCAGTATTTCTGGAACTAGAGTGGAAGTAGAATGACCCTGATAAGAGCAGCCAAACCTCTGACGGAGGAGGTTAGGGTGGTTGTTTGGGTGTGTATGACACCAGGGTTTTCATCCTGCCTCAGCATGACAATCCCTTTAACCTCAACCACAACTGTTTCCTGATTTAACCGAGTAGTTTAAGTCAGTTACAACCGCAATAACCCGTTAGATATCCTCGTTTACTTCTTTTTTTTGCCTTTTAGAAGACCGGAGAGAAAGAGAGAATATATATATCCTATGAACCTGTTAAACCCCTGGAAGCTGCTACACTATCAAACCAAACTAAACTCCACCAACCAGCACCTCTAAATCTCTTTGATGAATACATTTTATTTTGTGTGTTTATTTTGT